CAGAAAATACAATAGTATTAACTAATGGTTTAACCACCAATGTATGTACAAGGGTGTCTTTCGAATATATTGGGTGGTGATTCTGTTGTGTCGTCATCGTCATCGCTGTCGATGCTGAAAACTGAGTTTCCTATAATATAGATGTGAAAAGATTACAAAAAAATTGGGTTTTTTCTAATAATAATTTGTTTTAAGGATATTTACCGGATCGGGTGTTAACAATAGTTGAGAATTTGTCGTTTGTCTATATAAAAAACATGCATAAAGAAAAGAATTAGGAAAAAAAATCTACTTTTTAGATTTACATAATATAAAAGTAGAATTTATCTAGGTAAAAAAAGCTTACGTACAACTGTCCTAAAATCATTTTCAATCCTTCCAATTCTTTATTTTGTTCATTGAGTTTATACTCTAATCGTCTAATGGTATCTTCCATACGACCGGCCATTAAACCATCTATTTCTTCTTTTTGTTGATTAACTTTAGTTTCCAATCGTCTCATGGTTTCTTCCATTCGTTCAGCAAGTTCTAATTGACGAATCACTATTGACTCCAATGAAGATAACCTTGAGATCTGTTGTGATTGCTCATCGACTTTGGATTCTAATTGACTGTTGATGTTATTTAAAGACTCATTTGTGGTCTGGAGTTGTTCAATCTAATAAAATTACGAAATTACTATTAAAGACAATGTATATATACTATTAAAACTGTATAATTCAATTACCTTTTGATGAATTTGAGGGATCTCTTGAGTAATAACAGTATCTTGTGAAACTAGTGGCACAATCTGATGTGTTACATGATAAACCTGGCCATTTTGGACTATGTTATTTTCAAGTTTACGATCTTGTTCAATATCACGGCTTAAATAATCATGTTGGATTTCTTCTCCAACGAATCCAGGGGTCATTGGAAACTTGGGTGGAGTTAGAGGTGCGGTAGTCACAGTAGATGATTTTTCTTGATAGTGCGAAAAAGCGGACTTGGGTGGAGTTAGAGGTGCGGTAGTCACAGTAGATGATTTTTCTTGATAGTGCGAAAAAGCGGTAGAACTTTTCAAGTCTTTGTTAGTATCAGTGACTTGAATGTTGTCGATAACCTCATCATTAATGTTACCATTAATGTTACCATAAATGTTATCATTAATGTTACCATTAATGTTACCATAAATGTTATCATTAATGTTATTATTGATGTTATCGTTAATGGTATCGTTAATGTTATAATTAATGTTAGTGTCAGATTTAGAATCGCCATTAATTTCAACTTCAGGTTGATTATTATAATGTTTGAAGTCATCATTAGCGTTAGGCTCATATTTTTCAGAGTTGATACTGCTAGATGAGACTTGTGAAATTGGTCTTGATTTTTGTTGTTGCTCATTGATAGACCGATCTTCGTTAACAGAATTAGCGGATGAATAACCAATTTCTTCTTTAAATTCTTCTGTCTGCTCTTCAAAAGAACTAATCTTAACTTTTGGGAGATCTTCATGAACTAATTCATTAATCACACCGAAGGAATTAACGCCAGGCATTATAGATACCGGAGATTCAGTTTGATGAGAAGTGTCTAATACAGTTACAATTGGGGTGCGTTTTGAACCGGACGAATCAGGACGCCCTTTAGTTCTAATAGGTGAACTGTTAGTTTCTGGAAGGAACATATCA